TGTGGGGTACCAGATGAATGCTCACACCTGTGGGGTACCAGATGAATGCCCACACCTGTGGGGTACCAGATGGATGCTCACCGAGGAGTTTCGTATGTAGGTCTGAAGCTGGGGGCAAAGTGCCAGATCTATAATTCAACAAATATCCAGAAAGTAGACAAAAGGCAGCACCTTAGGAAACACTAACCATTAAAGGAGTGAGGAAATGAAGGAAAGATCACAGGCCAAACGACAGAGAGAAGCAGCGACAGCCGCCAGGAGAGAGGTTATTAATGGAAGGCCAAAAAAAGAAGTGTCGGGTAAGAAACTCTCCACATTCCCCAGTGCCCGGGAGCAGTTAGGGGACAAGGAGGCCAGCCTCCCCGGTGTCTACATAGGACATCCAGCAAGATATTGGTATTTTATTGTATTGTTGTACTAGTATAATGTAATAAAAAAACATTAATTAAACATTTATAGTAACTTGTGTTTCCAGACTTTACGGATACTCTATACCCTGGGTTTAGAAATCTAGATGTCACTCCTTGCAAGAATGTCTTTAAGGCAGGTAAGTTGAGGAGAAATGGGATCAGGAATCAATGGAGCATGAGAGAGTACAAACGTGGAGTCCTTACTATTTGTTCACAATGTTTCACTAAGAAGAGGAAAGAGCCGGGGCCGTAGGAAGCGGGTGTGGAGTCCCAGGAAGACTGTGTGGCCGTGTGGCCGTGTTCTGCCGGGCGACACTCCGCGTGGGAGGTGCACAGCCTGGCTCCCAGGTGCCGCAGTACTTACTCATTCCGCACAAAGGCGTGCTTGTTGATGGTCTCCACAACGTCTCTGAAGAGAATTTTGGAAGTGAGAGTATACCCATGGTGTACTACAGGCTCTCCGTCTGGGCCGTCCCAGCAGTCAACTGCCAAAAACAGAACCTCACGTCAATGACCCAAAGGCTCTAGTGCTTATTAATATTTCTGGACATACAAGGCCCATATTAGTTTCAGTTTTATTATTTGAAATCATACCCATTACAGTCATGATAGGGACAAGGTAGAGAGAAACGGCTGTCCTGGCATATCTATCACCATAGTACATGGTTTGTCTTTGAGTGTGGTCAACAAAGACGTCACATTCTGAAGCAGCCCAGAATTCACCAGAAACCCTCATCACAAGTCACCTAAATCTAATCAAGCGTGTCCAAGGCCTGGGATGTTTCTTCACAGGTTCTTTCTCCAACTTCACTTCTTCATCTTCTTCTTGGGGTTACCAAGGTCTCTGGGTAACTCGGAGCGTTCTTCTCAATTCAACAAGAGTTTTCACTGCAGTTCGCTTAACTTCATGAACTTTCCATTAGATGTATTTTCATTTCATTAATTCTACAGCAGTTATCAATCATACCGACTTCCTAAGTTCACATCCTTAGGCCCTGCCAAGATTTCTGTGACTATGGGCCAGTGATCTAATCATTCAGAGCCTTGCCTTCCCCATCTAGAAAAGGAAAACAGCAATACCGCTTCTATGGCAAACAGAGTGATGCATAAACACATGTAAAGTGGCCTAGGACACCGCACGGCTCGTGGGGATTATCATTGTTATTGACACTATTTATATTGCTGTGTACACGGATGATTTCATTGGCTCTCAGCTGGAGGAAAACAAGCCGTCTCCTCAGCATCCTCCCTGACTTAGTTTGCCTTCCCGGGCTTTTATATTCTGCCCCTAGGCTAATTTCCCAAAACACAGCTTTCCCCAGGTGACTCCTATATTCAGTGCACAGCATAGCATCTAACACGTAGACATCAGTAGTCTGTAAATATAATGTATAGCACACTTATTAATAAATATCCTCCCGCATTCAGCAGCTCCTGCCTGGGTAACCTTAATATCATGAAGGAGACGGTTTCTTCTTTCGCCCAAGAACACAGCTAGACCCCATTTCCCTGCCTTCCCTTGCAGTATAGCGTCACCGGAGAAGCACGGGCAGAAAGCACATGCAGGGCTGCTCGGTGGAAACGTGCCTTATACAGGCTATGACTGCTGTGACTCTAGCAGACACATACTGATGATAGCACAGCTACGAGCAGAGAAAAGCCTAGCCTTTCAATCCTGCTTAAGACATTCATTCATGAGGATCACCTACTGTGGACTTCACATAAACAAGAAATAAATGTCAACTGGTTTGAGGCGTAAAGAATTGGAGGTTTAATTGCTAAAAGAACGGTGTTGCCTTAATTAACATCCTAGCTCCTGTCTCACAGGTCGACCTTAATGTCTCCTATACCCAAACTCACAGACTTCCTCCAGTTAGGCACGTTTCCTCACATACAATCCCACCTTCATGCCTCTCTGCTTCTTTCTTGAAGGTCAGCTGAACTATATCCCCTTTTCACTTTGCTTATCTAAATCCCAATGACGAAGGCTAAGTCAGGATCCTGCTTCGAACCTTGCCAGCCCACGTGATCTCTTTTTTTCTTTATGGCAGGGGGTCATAATCTCAAATACCAACAAGAGCCAGAAGTTAACGTAAATCAGTGAGGCAGCCCGACAGGGAACGTGTGTTTAAATGAGATAACCGCTCCTCGGTGTTAATCATTGCTAAGTGGGTAGAAGAACCCTGCTTGCCAGATCTTCTGAGAAAAGTAAACAGTCTACAATTTAGTGTTGTGAATTTTCCCGATTTTTAAACATTGGCAGGTAATTCATTTCTTAAAATACAATGTGGGCCAAATACGAGCAATTCTGCAGGCTGACTTGGCTAAGGAATGCTGATTGCATCTCTACCTTTAATTAGAACCACAGGGTTCAGGACACAGCTGTTTATTTTAGCAGTATTTTCTCTACTTCTCTATATGTGTGTAGTATCTTCTCTACTTCTTCTATATATGTGCTTTCTGGATTACCCCAAGGGATGATCACCCCACGTTCTTCTAAAACTTTCAAATGTTCACCATATCATAATGTGCTGATGATGGTTGATTTAACGTGTCAACACCACTGGGCTATGACGCTGAGTTGTTTGGTTGAATGTCTTTCTGCATGTTGCCGTGAAGGTATTTTTTAAGATATGATTAATATTTAAATCAGTAGACTTTAAGATCGATTAAGTCTCCGTAATGTGGGTGGGCCTCACTCAACCCATTGAGGGCCTGACAAGCAAAGACTGAGGTTTCCCACAGAAGGAGGAGTTCCCAACACCGTGACACAGAAACGCTGCCTGAGTTCCAGCCTGTTGCCCTTTGAAATTTGCACTTGATTGTTCAAGTTTAACCTGAGTCCCCAGCCTGCTGGGCTGCTCTGCAGATTTTAGACTTGCCAGCACCCATAGTCGTGGGAACCAGTTTCTCAAAAACATCTGTCAAGCAATCTCAATCTGTTTCTCCACATGTTGTGTAGGTTGTTTCCTCTGGAGAACCCTAATACAGTTATCTACATCAATGCTTTATACATGGGCTATTCAAATATCCCTAGGAGGAAATATTACTTTTAAAAAATAAAGGGAGAAAATAAAGAGAGAAAAGACATTCAGGGTTAATACTACAGGAATACTGGAAATAACATAATGTCGAGTACAGGAAAGCTGGGGTACTAGCCTACAGTGCCACACTATTCCCTTGGGTCTGCCAATGAGGTCCCATGTACCCACATCCTCTCACAAGAGAAGCTTCATCTGTATTTTTCCATGTACTTTCCATTCTTTAATTTGTTTCTGGATATAAAAATGAACAGATGCTTCAAATAATACAAAATTTTAACAATTTTTACCCTGATTTACAGTCTCATCTTGAAGGAGAAAGGGCATTACAGGGGTCCTCATAGATGAACTAACATCTTTTCCAAAGGAATTCAAAGTAGACAAGGCAACGCCACGCTCAACTTGCTTATAGTCAAACATATAAAAATCGCTCTTCAACCTGCATCAGTCATGAAAGAAGGCAATTTTTGCTAATATTTACAACACAGGCAGAGGATCCATAGTTGAGGGTGCTACATTGTCCTGACATTCACCGTTTACTTCCAATTTCATTGCTTGTCTGTGAAATGAAGATAACAACATTCCCAAGTGGTGGCACCTTAATTCGTGGCATTCATGGCCAGGTTTGTGTGGCCCTGAAGTTTCTCACAAAGGCTGATGCACAAGAGGAATGTTGGCAAGTTAGAAATCCTCTGTCCAATTCCCCAGGGCCCTTTTTTCAAACAGGTCATACTTTAGCGATCCCAGAAAGCAAAGCAACTCCAACAAAGAGTCGGTCATTCTGAAGGCCACGCGACAGCTTTTCACAATGGACCCTCAAGGCGTTCCACCCTGGTAGCACTCCCAGAGATAACGGGGAAAGTTGTAAACCGATTTACAACAGCCACGCACTGCCAGCTTCATAATGAGGATGAAAATTCACTGGACAGAACATCCACACTTATCAAGCAACTCAGGCTGAAAATCCAGTGATTGAAAGAACACGGAGAAAAGACTTGTTAGTCTTCCCCATGACAGGACACATGTCCTGACCAAGGACGCTGCTGCAGCCAAACTAATAAAGATGGCAAATATGATATAATCAAAATAGGAGCCTTAAAGTGGAGAGATTCGTCAGGTCACCATAGCATGAAGAAACAGACCTGAGTCACCATGTCCATTTCTACATGATCTGCTCAGCCAAAGCTGCGGCAGAAAAATAGCTGTAGGACCAGGAACTTTCAATCCATGACCTGCTACATCCTATAAATCAGGTTCTTTAAATTCTAACTGCAGCTGTTCAAGAATAAAAAACAACTTTGTCTGGGTGCAAGGTAGATAAAATGCCACTGGGTCTATAGTATCCCCCACCTTCTCCACAAGGGAAATGATTTAAGACCCTCAGTGGACACCTGAAACTTCTGGGAATACTGTATCTTTTTCTATGTATACATGCCTATGATAAAGTTTAAATTATCAATTAGGCACGGGAAATTATTAACAGTAACTAATAGTAAAACAGAACGTTTATAACGATATACTACAATATGATGTGAGTTACATAAATGTGTCTTTTCTTTTTTAGAATACCTTCTGGAACTGCACTCATCCTTCTCGTGATGAAGAGGGACGGAGCCCGATAGCAGAAGATTTCATCACACCACTCAGAAAGTGCACAATTTAAAACGTATGAGTTACGTATTCCTGGAATTTTCCATTTAATATTTTCAGACTGTGGCTGATCACAGGGTAACGGAAACTGTGGACTGTGGAAAGCAAAACTGAACAAAAGGGGACAACGGTCTATGCAGTGGGGTCTCCACACCCAAGCTTTCAATATAAATTAGATCTTCAAACCACAGGGCAGATGGAAATTGTTAGGAGACCCCAAAAGATCACGTCACCAAATGTAGTTGGTAGGCTTAACCACGAGCAAGCTGCTTCTTCCTTTTAAAGCCAACCTCCCCTGTGTGCTGTGCTCCTCACTTTCTCCAGCCATCCTTACGTCGTCCGACAGCCTCACACAGAGGCCTCCTAGAGCAGCCAGGCATTTGATGCCCGCTCTGCTAAAAGCTTGCAGGCTTCCAGAGAACAGTGGGGTGAGGAGGCCAGATCAGGCTGGGTTCAACCCCCAGCTTGAAAGTTTCCTAACCACGGGAACCTAGTCCATTTACCCAACTAAACCGAAGTTTCCTCTTAGGAGATAATTCCACCTCCCTTGGTGGTGGTGTAACAATGAAATGAGAATGTATGGGAAACATTTAGCCAGTACCTGGCCCACAAAAGGGGCTGAAATCACTGTAGTCCCTCTCTCCCTTCCTATAATACATTCAAACCCAAGGTAACAACCACAATTTCCAGCAGAATATTTCCTATTGGCCAAATACAAAGATGACCAAGTCTTCTAGACAAATATAATTCTTCCCCTCCACAAAAGCTTGCCAGAAATAGTCATCGACTTTTACTGTTCAGTCATAGATTATTCCAATACTAAGAACTTTAAGCCAAATGCTAGGGGAGGAATTTATGGGTACAAGCTGGTCAGCGAGCTATTTGGAAGCACATAGGAGCTCATGTGTTCTTTAAAATCTCACCATACCTAGGCACAGTCGCAGTTTGTGTGACTATCTGGAGCAGGCACTATTTTAGACTCGGAGGGAGAAGTAGCTTCTTTCTATTACATTGGAAATTGGCAAACAGGAAGAAAAAAGATACAAGGGAAGGTCCACATTCAATGCTATCTACTGTTCATAACTTCCCAAAGCTCCCATTTCAGAATTAAAAGACTACGGAAAAAGCTACAACTAAAAACCATTTGTGCATTGGAAATTGTCTCAAGCAGATAGCTTTCCATCTTACCAAACCAAGCAAAGCTGAAGGATTAGAACTTTTAAGCCCATATAAGGAGTTGATCCTAGGAATATGGTTAGGCTTGGGTAGGATATGGATTTTGCATAGGTAAACCCCCCAAAAAGAAGCCTAGTGAAGGACTTCAAGGCAAGAAAAAGCAGAAAAAAACAGAAGTAATAAAGTTGCACCATTGTATAGAGTTGACTATCACTTCATAAAGTCATTTTTCAAATTTGAACTCCCAGGAAATGTCACCATTTAAAATGACAGACAACCACCAGTGTGACACCGAGGAGGCTGCATGCCAGGGAACCTCTGCACATGTCAGACGTGGGACGCATATTGAATGTGAGTGAACAAAGGGCCAAATAATGGCTCAGAGCAGAATGTCACCTCAAGACCTTTTATTCCTTGAAAGGTTTTTCTTCATGTTAATATTTTATAGCCTTCATTATTCAGCTGCTTAAGCTGCTCGGTTGTCGGTCACCAGTGTCTGTATCCGTTGCAACTACTGCAGAAACGTTGCCTTCACACACACTTTCCAGAGTAGCCGTTTTGCAGTGATCCTACAGTTTCTGCCTACAGATAGTTTTAGCGCCTGTCCAGGTTTGAACATGTTGATTCGTCTCATAACATCACTGTCAGTTTCATAGCAGAAACTATCAGAGTAAAGCCCTTGCAGTTAACCAGTCTCATCTCATAATCCTGCTGCTTCATTCACTTCCCTACAGGTCCAGCACCCCTGGGACACCCAGTCATCTCACAGCTGACCCCAGCACGTCCCCACCAAAAAGCAGATGTCCTGTGTTCCGTGGCACCTCCACACCATTATAAATTGCATTTCGTCTTCAGGCTCTTTTTAGAACTTCCTCTCAACCTCCTTATCTTGGTTAACTGCCAGTTTACCCCGGAGGACACGACTTCCTTTCTCCACAGAGGCTCTTTTGTGTAAATCACAGAACCAAAAGGCGTTCTCCAGGCCTTTATTGCTACTTTTGGAGAACTGTCCTAAACTCATTTTTAAAATGCCTCTTCTTTGAAGCCCACTCTATCCAGCTGTCCCTTTCTGGCATCCTCCAAGTATTTTTTCCATGGCATCCTTTTTGTACTTAAGTACCTGGTTTATAGTTTTTATCTGCAACCCACCCTGTCTGCACCCTTTAACGCCCACACGGCCTTCCACTGACTCCCTTAGCACTGACCTCCTCAATGCTGATCATCGCCCCTTCACTCTATTGCCATCATGCCCACCCATGCTGCCCCTGGCTGGATACTGTCACCCCTGTAACTAAGGGCCACGGCGAGGATAATTCTCTGTCCTTGTTTTTTGTAAGTGTGATGACAACTTTCTGCATTTTTCTATTTCTTTAAGTCCTCTAGCCTCTTAATCTCATTTTGTTGACCCTTATTGAAATCACTTCCTTAGACCCACAGACCCCGACAATTACTTACAAGAGCTCTCACCAGCATCTCAAAGGCATTTTATACGACACAAGAGCCTCAGATCACTTCTATAATCTGTCTTCACTGCCCTTTTATCTAAGCACAGGTATACTACTGGGGATGGGATTAGGAAAAGTCCAAGTATCCCAATATCACTAAAGAATGCTCTTTGAAGTTAGCTGGGTCTTCCTCAATGTGTCAACTCCTTTCCCATTCTCTGGCGACTTCTTCACAAGTTTGCTATCCAGGCCCCTGAGCCAGCCTCCACTCTGCACTTAGTGGGCAATGCTCTCTCCTACTTCCCTGAGAAAACCCCTTCCAAGTGACTCCTGCTATTTCCCAGCCTGCCTGATTCCTTGTCACATTTTACTCACTCTTTATTCTCCATGCTATCACTTGTATACTAGGTATACCATTGTACTATCTATTTGTTTATTTTACAGACAGGGTCTTCTCATGTTGCCTGTGTTGGAGTGCAACAACTATTCACAGGCATAATCACCGCTCACTGCAATCTCAATCTCCTGGCTTCTACTGATCCTCCCACCTCAGCCTCCTGAGTAGCTGGGACTATAAGCATGCACCACCGTGCCCAGCTTGTCCAATTTTTTTTAATGCCCCTACGTCCTAAAGGACTATGAGTTTCTCAAATACAGAAACCATGTCCTACTGACATCTGTGTCTTCACCACCTAGAACCCACTAGAAATTTAATAAATGTTGGCTGATGGGTGGACCATGAAGAATCTTGAAAACAAACAGCTCTCCTAAACTATTTTTGCACTGCTCAATTAAAAATATTTTTCTAGGAAGACTTCAATTTTTCAGCAACTAAAGTTATGCTTCCCAAGTACTAGTATATCTCTCTCCCTCCCACGTGGCCAATTAGAACAGTAAGAAGCCAGAGAGGATTATGAGTTAAGAATGACTTCACGATGAGTGGGAAGACAGTTCTGTTGTGAGTGTGAGAGCGTGTTTTAGTCTAGCGTGTACTAGACTGAGGATTAAAGGGCATGTTCACCAACACACACCGGAGCTCAGACAAAGTGCATGTACCTTCCACGCAGCGACAGCCCTCTTGCAGCACCCGTGCGTACATGTCCACTTTGGACTGAGAAAGGAGCTGGTCCCCGGTCAGGTAGGTGTTGTGGGAAGAGGCAATGTAGTAGTTGCAGAGGGGCTGGTCCATGTCTTGATACACTTCATGGTGCAGCGGGTTAAACACGTCACAAGCAGGACTGCGCATGAAGTTCGTGAAGCCTTTGGAAAAAAAGAGAGAGTGACCTACTAGAGCTTTGAAAGCATAAGAACCAGAGGACTCTCACAAGGATGAAGGAGCTCAGAGAGCGTTCATAGTGATTATCTCGTTTACCCTCAGCACAGCCTTCGTGGAACACTGGGGCAATGACAGATTTGCATGAGGTCAAACAGACAAGTGTCATGAAGTTGAAATATAACTTTGGGGCATAGCCTTTGAAACATAACCTAGAGAAAAATAAATTGACTTTTTAAGAATTTTGATTGGGTGGGGGCGGGGGGTCCCACTTAGTAATTACTGAACTCCAGCTGTGTTTCTCCAGTCTGACCTGATGGGTGACCAGTGCTGTGTTAAAGGCATATTTATACCAACAGATGCTCTGATCAAACCAAGGATGGACGGGTTACTAAGCTGACCTGAAAACAGTACAGTCAATGCCACAGTTAAGGTAGCATAAGGTTAACCACTGCCTAAATTCAAGGGGTGATCATTTGACAACAAAATCGGTTTAGAAAATGCTGCTAAGGCTGGCACATTTTATTACTTTGAAATAGTGCTTCAAGTTTTTGTAGAAAACCTTATCAGTTTTTCTATGATCTTCCAAAACATAATTCCTGGGTCAAAGAAGCCCTCATTAACACATGAATAAATACATAAATGACTCACAAGTACCTAAGGAGAATAATTATTAAGGTAAATTGTTCCAAGTGTTTGAAAGTCACTTGGTAAAATTATATCTGTAAATATCCTCTGAGGCTTAAGAATTTCCCCATGCTGATCATTAAGTCCATAACTTGGAAATTATGTTAAATTCCATCTTTTGAGATTCTAATAAGGAAAAGATTCATTTATTAGTACAGATAAGGCCCAAGTTACTTCATCATCTCTAGCTGTTTAATGATACAAGATTTTAAACGATTCCTCTTCATTTTAATCATACTCTATCACAAGAACTGTTAATAAACACATGGTATTAAAATCCCTTTCTCTATTTGATCCTGGGAGTGAGGGAAATGAGAGGCCACCAAAAATGGCTGGATTAAACCATGGATGCTTTGGGGGGCAGCTGGGTTCCCCACTAGATCTTCATTACGATCCTCTGTTTTGGGGACGGCCACAGTGGCTCATGCCTGTAATCCCAGCACTCTGATAGGCCGAGGGGGTTGTATTGCTTGAGCTTAGGAGTTTGAGACCAACGTGAGCAAAAGCGAGACCCATGTCTACTAAAAATAGAAAAATTAGCTGGGCATTATGGCAGATGCCTATATTCCCAGCTGCTCGGGAGGCTGAGGCAGGAAGATCACTGAAGCCCAAGAGTTTGAGGTTGTCGTGAGCTATGATGACACCAGAGCACTCTACAGGGCCACAGAGTGAGACTTTATCTCAAAAAAGAAAAAAAAAAAGATCTTCTGTTCTTAAGGGAGAGGAGACTCTATCCTCTGGGTGGAAGCCTGCAATTTATTTCCCTACAGATTTTAAGTGCATATACTACATGTAGTTATATTTATGCCGCTAGGTCCACACTTATTTCTTACATATTTTAAGTACATACACATATGTGTAACTATATTTCTGCTACTAGTTCCACAATTACTTTAGGAACAAAGTTTCCTGCATGCAATTATCAGGATGAGGCTATTTACAAACATTAGCCATTTGAGAAAAGTCCAAATATCTCTTTGCATTATGCAAAGTGGTATTAAGTAGACTTGCTTAATGTGAAAAATGTTCAAGAGCATTGCAAAAATAAATAAGAGAAATAGCAACATCTTGGCCTTTGCTTTGTAGGAAAACATGTGATGGGTTTCATTTGAATTATCTGTAATACCACGGATATCTCTTGATTTCTTTTTTTTTTTTTTAATTTCTTTTTCTAAAAATTTTGTTGGAATCAGCGAACAGACAGAATCCAGAAACAGGAAATTAAGAACATTGATTGTTTTACCTTCTATGCCAAGAACATTTTTCTCCTTATTTTCTTCTGAAACTTCAAACTTCTTTATGATGTCAAGACAGTAGTCCGTTGTCACATTATTCATCTAAGCAAAACAGAACATTAGGAGAGTGTCTGCAGTTTCCTGAGGCACATTCCTCCATGTTAAAAGGACATGCACTGATTCTTAAAGCGTTCCTGATACAGCAAAGTGCTTGGGGTCACTAGTGTCACAGCTACTTTATCCTAAGAGAATGGCAACGATTTCAATCTCCCTATGCATCTTTCAGATTTGGTCAGTGAAAACAGCCTGCAACTGATAGACAAATGTTCTCCATAAGGCATAAAATAAAGTCAGTAATCAGTGCAAATCCATTACCCAAAATCCACTTACTATAAGTTAGTAGCTATCTGCAAAAATTAATGTTTCCTATAGAAACACCAAGGTTTGCTAATCATAAATATACGCAGAAAGAACATGGTTCCCTACCCAAACAGAATGTTTCTAGATAAATCTACCTATGTGTGTACAACCATAGAACCTTCTCCGCTGAATCGCCAGAGCCGTCTGCCATGGTGATTCAGGAATACAAAGGTTAGCAAGAGAAAATAAAAATGAAGAGCTAGGTGACAGATGGCGTAATAGAGAACTACGGAGGTAGATTGCTTGTGTTCAAATCAGCTGGCTCAGATCGGTAACCATGTGACTTTGAATAAGTCATTTATCTTCTCTGTTTTTACCTCGGAGGTGAATGATGCGAATTAAATGAATCAATATTTGTAAGAACATGGTGTGGCACTGAACAAACATTATATACTCTTATTATTGAGTCATTCCCAAGGCTGCCCCCTGAGAATTACACGCTTAGTATCACTGGGAAAAGTAAAGTCTTCAGGAGTAATTTCTTTCTTTAATTGACTAGCAATACAAAGAATGTGATATTTCGATCGAAAATTCATTTAGCCCCACAATGTAACATTGCCATTTAAAATACTAATGAACGATGATAGAGGAAGCTGATCTTCTGGGCCAGTCTTTCATATTTCAATTATACTTTTTCAAAGATTCTATTATCTCTTAGGTTCAGTGCCTATATTTTAGTGAATTCCAATTTTTCTAAACAATCTAGTTAAATGGAGGGGGAAAAGCTCTGTGACACGGCTGCTTTGGGTCAGTCTAAAAGAGCACACAATATTTTTCCCCAACCGTTGCATAATGGCCGGTGCATCCTCTTTGTACATTTTATAATCCTTACTCTATTCAGAGGCTGTAGTCCCAACCACCACCTGAAAATACCATAAATAAATGAAACCACAATATCTCCAAGGAACTCAATTGACCCAACCAGGCTTTGAGCAGCTCACTAATTTGTCCGCTGTGAGCTGGAGAGATTTAGCACATGCAGTCTAAATGGTAAATAATTTTGCAGAAACTAAAAAGAACCAAATTGATAATCATTTTATGTGCTATGTGAAGACTGAGTTCACTTTGCAGTTATTTTGTTTATGAGGCCATTTGTTCAGAGATCTAGGGGCCCCAAACTGGACTCAGGTAGACCAGCAGGAGCCCAGGAGATGAAAAAAAACTTACAAACAAACAAATTCTATCAAACTGGGATGAAGCTAATTCCAGGTGACCAGGGAATATATTACTAGTTCATTATACAAAGCAGAGAATAATAATAAAAAAATCACATTCGTAAAGTATTTGTTGAATTACCAAAAATAGTAGTAAGCATTCCATAAAGCTAATAAATTTGGGGGCACCATATATGAATTAATGGGAAAGAAATAATCCACCTCAATTCAAATATTGAGGATTAGCTTAGTGAAAAGAAAGGAAGCGTCAGTCGGTTTCCAGCCTTTCCCCATCCCTGTTCTCACTGAATTAACCTCCCAGTAGCAGAATTTTGCATTTTACATAATTGAATTTTTCAGACTTCACTTAATCCAATAATGTAGTAAGTTGACTGTGTGAATGAAGGTTCATCGTCAGTTAATGCTCTTTATTGTTCTATTCCGCCCTGCTTTGCTTCCTAATTGACACAGCTAATAGGGTGAAACAGAAACACTTTCTCCCTGTTCTAACCCCACGGAGTTTACTTGAAGGTTTTGTTTGCTATCAAATATCGGAGCCACTCGCTATCTCCAGCACAGAAAATTGTTCTATCTATAGTAGGCAATTGCTACTAAAAAAAAAAAAGATAAAATTTGATTTATTTTGATAACTCGTTACATTTATATGATCCTGTCAATGCAAACTCAGAATTTTTATTATTTACATTTTACAGATAAAATAACTGATACTGAGCAAAGCTAAATATCTCTACCAAAGTCATAAACCATAAGAGGTAGAACCAAGGTTCATATTTGGACCTTCTCGATTTTAAGTACAAAGCATTTTCTTTTATGTTATACCTATTTTCTGGGTGTTTTTCTTTATTTCTACTGAAGAATTGGAATACTCACTTTTTTTGAGACAGAGCCTCAAACTGTTGCCCTGGGTAGAGTGCTGTGGCATCACAGCTCACAGCAACCTCCAACTCCTGCTCAAGTGATTCTCCTGCCTCCGCTTCCCAAGTAGCTGGGACTATAGGTGCCCACCACAATGCCCAGCTATTGGTTGCAGCCATCATTGTCGTTTGGCAGGCCGGGGCTGGATTCGAACCTGCCAGCTCAGGTGTATGTGGCTGGCACCTTAGCTGCTTGAGCCACAGGCGCAGAGCCACGAATACTCACTTTTAACATGGCTTGGTTTTTCTATATAGCTGAATATATAGCTGATATATATTCTAATATAGCTGAGTCTTTTCTTAACTTTTGGAATTCTTGCAACTTTCAAGTCAACTATTACATTTTTATTTCCTTCATTATTCAAGATTGAGCTCCATTCTCTTTTCCTTATTGACTACAGGTCTTTAATAGAGAAGGGAAAACTCAGGTCCTCACACTACAGGATAACCCAGTTGAGAAGCAGGAGTTGTAGAAACAAGTCGTGGTCTATAAAATATCCATATTCTGACACTACCTTGTTATCCTCAGACTTCCTATAAAATTTCTAGTAAAATGTTCCCAGTGAGTGCAAATTTTAAAACACAGCCATAAAGAATAAACAATTAAGTTTCTTATGGCTATGATTCCCAAAAAATACAAAACAGAAAATTTATTGTGCCCAAAATTCTAGCAATGCTAAAACTCTTTTTATTTTTGTCAAAGTAACATATCCATAACTAAATACATCAAAACTAAGATGCATAGAACTAAAAGCAGAAGTCTCCCGCTCATACCTAGAATCACTGTTGCCAAAGGCAACAATGCCAGTATGTCTTGACATTTCTTTTGAAATGATCTGTATGTTTCTAATTATTATATTTATGCTGCTATTTCCTATTTTATACACTTTAAAGTTTTCTTTTATTTCTTACTGTGTAAGATGCTAAGTAGATATTCAGCAAACAGAATGAGAAAATCTTTGGGTTCAGCAAAGCTTCCTCTCTCTGCCCATCCTTCCAGTGTAGTGAAACTACATTTTTCTACTAAATATCTGGTGTTAAAATTATCCCAACTATACAAACATTGACTAATGCTAATTCTATTTTACACTATGATTGTATTTCTTTTCTTATAGAACATTTTTCTGATTAATTGTTGCAATTCCCATCTGTTTGGTTAATTTTTGATGTACCAATTACAAATTTTTCTCCATGACTCTAGTAGTTTCATTTTATCCCACATATCCAAAGGCAACAAGTAATCCATGAATTCCAGTATCTCTACATATAAAACTCTTCCTTCTTTTAGGCTGATTGGATTCTACAGCTTTTGTCCTGACTTTATTCTGTCATTCTTAAGAAAGAGCGATCAGGAAGTAGATTATTTATCTAGGATGTGTCTTCATGTGTTCTTGTGTGCGTGTTTTTACTCCACATACACACACATACACATCTGTCGGTGGGATAATGAGACAGACAATTCTATGTTGGAAATCTTTGCGGCCAGATATTTTGCTGGCTACCAGAGGTGCTGCTGAGAAGTCTGATGCCCTTCTGATACCAGTCCTTTTCACAGGCCCTGTTTTATCTGTTAATTTGTTTCCTCTTACCACAGGCATTTAGGGTTTCACTTTAGCCTTGGCATTGTGAAATGTCAGTGTGATTTGCCCCCATGCAGTGTGATTGGTCCCTGTGCAGTTAGAGTTAGATTTGCCCCTATGCAGGGATTGGTCCCTGAGCTTTGCCCCATGCAGTGTTAGATTTGCCCCTGTGCAGTGTGATTGGTCCCTGTGCAGTGTGATTGGTCCCTGCAAAATGAGTTTTGCCCCCGTGCAGTATGATTGGTCCCCAAGCAGTGAGAGTTAGATTTGCCCCTGTGCAGTGAGCTTTGCCCCATGCAGTGTGATTGGTCCCTGTGCAGTGAGAATTAGATTTTCCCCTGTGAAGTGTGATTGGTCCCTGTGCAGTGAGCTTTGCCCCATGCAGTGTGATTGGTTCCCATGCAATGAGAGTTAGATTTGCCCCTGTGAAATGTGATTGGTCCCTGTGCAGTGAGAGTTAGATTTGCCCCTGTGCAGTGTGATTGGTCCTGTGCAGTGAACTTTGCCCCGTGCAGATCTTTTCACACTCACTATGCTCAGCCCTCACTGGGCACTGCCAGCGTAGAGAGTCTCCTCTTTCTGTGCTGATAATTTTTTGTATTGCCTATTTGATAATTTATTACCTTCCATTTTTTCTTATGTTTTTCTATTTCTTTTTGCTTATCTATTTTCTCAGTTTTATCCTCTACATCTTGTATTGAGTTTATTTCTCTGCTCTCATATTTTTAACTTCCAAGAGCTTCTTTTTTGCCTGGGAATCTTTTTTTTTTTTTTTCTGATAGCACCTATTCTTGCTTTATGGCTACAATTTTTTTGTAGCACTTTGATGACATTAATGATGATTATAAATTTTTCTTTCTCTGGCTGGGCGTGGTGGATCACACCTATAATCCTAGGACTCTGAGAGGCCTCAATGGGCAGATCGCCTGGATTCAGGAATTTGAGACCACCTGGGCAAGAGTAAGACTCTGTCTCTACTAAAAATAGAAAAACCTAGCCAGGTGTCCTAGCCA